TGGATGTGAAAACTGTGGGAAACATGTGATTTTTATTATCTGAAACCATTAACTACAATGTATAGGACCATTTCATGATGAAGAAAAATATATTATGCAGAACAAAATATGTTAGGACTATCACAAAATAAGTTAGGACTATCACACAGGCAGTGTATGTCAGAGGGATGCTGGTGTGTGTGTGTGTGTGTGTGTGTATGTATGTATGTATGTATGTATGTATGTATGTATGTATTTCCCAGTTTGCAGTCTTTAGGCTAATAGTCTCCTGGCTGCAGCTTCAAACTCAACAGACAGATATGAAAGTGGTATTGATCTTCTAACTCAGCAAGAGCCACAAAAAGTATATTTCCCAAAATGTTCCCACAAGCGTCCCAGACCACCTCCGAATGTTGTCTGAGTGATTGGATCTCAAGCAAATCCTCAATGCATCTTGGGTTCACACCTGAACTTAGTTGTCCACTTATGATCGGATCACTCTGGACTTATGTTACCACGAGGTCTGAACAGGACCACAGACTTATTACTATTATACTCTTAATTTCCTTGAAACTTAAAACACTTCCTGGAACATTCCTGAGGTGCTGTATGTGCGGACGCATATCAAAGTCAATTACAGTGGACATTTTCCACAACTTTTCTTGCCAGCCACTGAGTAAATTGAGAAAAAAGTGAGACCATGTGGGAATAATACAGCAGCAAAACTTCCACAATACTCACAGTGAGCAAGTTAATGACCATTCTAACACACAACACAATACTGGAAGAATACAAATATTTATATATATAGAAGACACAGACAAAGAGGTCAGCTTGGGAACACGATATGAGAGCTTATGTGTCAATGTGATTTTAAAAAAAACTGTAGAATGTATAGGAAATGTTCTGCCTCCTGCATACTCGTCTCTGGCATCTCTCTCACCTGAATGTTCCAGAAATTTTGTCTGACATGGACAATCTCCTGCAGCGTTCTTCAAACTTCATTAAATGTTTCAGAGATTTTCCTAGCCTTATCATGAGATAACCTAAGCTCACACACAAAACAAAAGAATGAGCTGCATACCCAGAGTGCATTTGAATGACACTGTGGATTGTGGATTTATTCAGTGCTCGGCAGAAGTTCCGCACTAAAGTGAGGATTAGGCCTATTTCATAGTGCTGTGTTTTATTGTAGCGAGAAAGTGCACTGGGGGGGCTGCTTCTGGATGAATCGACGCTACCAAATTGAACTAATTGCACTGTTGCCTGCCCAGTGGACCCCGTCTGGGACTCAGGAGAGCAAAGAGCTGAGAGCAGGAGAGTACATTACTGAATCCGACTAATTGCTCACACCTGTGCCTGCCCAGCTCGCTCTGCTGGGGATTCTGGGGAATGATAGAGCAAAGCTGGAAACATACGGGTGTGGCGACAGGGGTTTACAGATCCTGTCTGTCTGTCTCTATCAATGCTCATTGTGTGTATAGGTCTTCGGCACCGGCGTTTCAGTCAGTCTAACAGTGTTGCAGATGTAGCATCATGTTCCACTCAGTTACAGGTGGTGAATGATGTTGTGCGTTTACAAGAGTTTTAATTGCTCACTTTGGTTAAATGAAACTGCTTTGTTTTGTCACCAGTTAAAAAACCTTCTCCTCAGCCACCTCTCGCTGAGGACCCGAGGAGACTAGAGATGAATTCATAGCTGCAGCCAGAAAAGAAAGCAATGAATACGGACGAATCAGACTGTTTCCAATTTCAGCCCCATCTGCCCCGCATTACCTGGAGTGGATAACCACATGATGGACATTATATGGAAGTTACAGGACATAAATAAAAAAGAAAACAGCTGCGATGACAATCCTATTGAGATGGGGGGTTTGTAAGTCAAGTCTGATCTTTTTCACAAAAGGGCTTTTATTGTTCTAGAATTTCCCAGAGAATTTTATTGTCACGTTATATTGTAAATCATAAATCTTTCATAATTTTTTTTTCCAAGTTCACAGTTAATTTATTTTGTTTTCACATGTGGATCATGTGACTATCAACAGCAGGTAAGCAGAGAGAGGTTAGAGGAGAAGGAAGGGAGAGGAAAAATAAAAACTGAGAATAGACGGAGTGTGCTGAGAAAGCGGTTGTCTGACCAGAGGCTTCCTGGGCAGAGCAGAGATGATCGCTGAGACTCCCGGCATGAATTCCAGACACCTTTCACCACACAAACAGCACGAATCCTGTGCAGCACGAATGTGCAGCTTCTGGCTCCCCCACAACACACGATGAAACACATGAACAAAGCATTACTCCAAGTAAAACCTCAAACTGCTATTCTCAGTTTCCTCATTATCATCACCAAAGAACTCACCCTGAGGCAAAACCTCCTAAACATCAGCTCAGTCATAAAACAGCTGCCCAACTGTCATTTAAAGCAGCCAAATGCAGGCAAAATCCACCCTCATGTATTCATCGGCCACTTGACAGTGACTTTTACCAGGTAGGAAATGACTCTTACTGCTTTCAGCTTCACTTACCCCTGGCCATAGTATAAAAAAGTGCAGTAAACACAACTTTTGCTGTGTGTAACCATCTGTTCAACTTTACTGTTCTAACTAACTTTTTGTCCTCACCTCAGGATTCATACATCTGCAGGCACAACACATATTGGCCGTGTTTTCCTTTGTACGACTGCGTAATTTTGGGTCCTGTCCATTGTTGTTTGTGACCCCACCTTCATTATTGTTACCCCTTCTGCTTGTACCTTGGTAAGGTTAACACATCTCTCAAGGGGTATGATGCACTGGGTCTTAGGTACGAGATCTAACAAAGAGAACACCATCTGTATGAGTTTGGAAGAAAGGGAGGTTTTTGTGTTTATGTGTGTGCACGCAACAAAGCCATCCCCTTATGGCCCATTGTTTTGGAAGGGTATGACTCTTGCACCCCTCCTATGGATGTTAGGGGAATAGAGCACAGTCTGGCTAATATTTAACTAATGATTGTACCTTCCAGACTCGACCGCCCTCCTCTCACCAACTGCCAAACCTGAGCCATCTCTGCAGTGAACGCCACTGAAGTGTGGCTGTGTGAAATAGAATGTGGAGGGATGGGGCTCTGCACAGTATCAGGGGAGAAGGGTACGGGAGAAAATAACTGTTGGAGAGCCCATAAAAGAGCTGTGAGTGAGGGAGAAATGGATGCACACTGTTGTGTGGGAGGCCAACGAGTCCAGCAGTCTGAGAGAATGCCATATGCTACCTTGAGGCAGGCAAAGTCTGGCAAAAGTGAAGGAGAAGTAGAGTTAGACAGGAGTGGCTGGTTTCCATCAGCACTGATATTATATGTGTTTGGCCTTCACATTTCTCATCAAGGAGCACATTTATCCCCCCGGTCTCCCTTATAGATAGAGGCTAAGCTACTGACAGCGGGGAAACAAGAGACGGGGCTGAAAGAGGCAAAGGAAGTAGGGACAGAAATAGGAAGAATGAGTGAAAAGGCATAATTAGATAATGAGGTCTGTGTTTGTCAAGTGGGAGAGACAGAGGAGGAAAACAGAAATCTGTCAGGGCAAAATCACAAAAAGAGTTGAAATGAAGGGGAAGTTAGAGAGACGGGGAAAACTGGAGAGGGGTGGATAGATAAACTATAAAAGATGCAGCGGGGCTGATTATTGTTATGGTGCCACCAATTTGGACCGAAGCCCCTGGTGCTCCCAGGCAAATGTAGTATTAGTCACTTCAATAATTAATCACCCTGGGAGCATGTCGTTGCAGTCATGCACTGACCCATTTCTCGAATATTTTTCTCAACAGTAACATACCCACAGAGCCCCTCTTCTTCTATACCGTCATTTAGCGAGGTGGGGGTGCAGGCCCAAATCCTCTGGGTCAGGCCTGGTCATTTATTAGCCACATTTCTCAGGAGAAATAAAAGTAATCTCGCTGCTCTTCTCAAAGGCTGTGGAACCATGCAGGGAGACAGAATAGTGGCCTCGGCTGTGGCCCAATGGGCCTGGCTGGCTGACTGTCCTGGTGAAATATGAGGCCCATATGTAGGACGGCCATCTGAAAGAGAGACCCAACAGGGCTCCTTCAGGCTTTGATGCTCATCACCACAAAAGCAGATGGCGGTGTCCTGGTCTTAAAACTTTTTTACAACAACCCCCCCTCTTCTTTTATCCAATCCTATCCGGCCTATTAGCCCCCTGCCTGTCATGGTCTAGCAGCCTATGCTTAGACCCTGGGGGGGCTTCCACAGCTATGGAATGAAGTCAAGCTTCCCCATTGACACAGGTCTCACTGGATGGCTTTGAATAGAAGTCAACCGAGTGAAAAGGCATGTTTTAGAGGACAAAATGGAATAAGGTGTGGGATGGATCAATACTGCAGGGTTGTTTGGACTTTGCTCTCTGTGTGCTCAGACAAAGCAGCGCTGACTGCAGGTGGCAAAGAATTTTTCCGGACATTGGGTAAAAAGTAACAAAGGGCGTTAAATGGAAGAAAAAACTGCATGCATCTGTCTGAAAGATTGAGATCAAAGCGGAGAGAAAACCTGCTGTGTGTGCTCTATATACATCCCTGCCCTCCTCACTTAAACGGACAGGATTTGTCACCGAGGTCCAATCGCAACCTGTGTGCAGCTCGCACCCAAGCAATTTCTGAAGCAGAAAGGCAATCAGGAACTTAAAGTCAGGCACAATGCAAATAGGTCTGAGAGCCCATCTGTAGTAATCCAACAGTCCCTCCTGCAGCAGTCTGCTCTCCATCTCAGCCTCTCTGTGGCACAAGCCAATTAACTGTTTGATTCAGAGCTGGGGAAGAACACCCTAATTGATTACATGGCGATAGTCAATTCAATTATCAATTTAGGCACAAAAAGCTGAGTGGAGACGTGGGGCCCGGGAAGTTTGCTGAACAAGTTCTTCAGTAACTTGGCAGCACAATCATTGTGTGTGTTTGTTTAAGCGTAGGACTGAAAAGTACAGGAGGAAGGCAGGGAGGCAGAGGAAGAGAGGCAGGAAGACTGACACTTACTGTAGCTACTGCAGGTTGTTTACTTGCAGGCTCTGACTTACACCTCTCCTCTGCTTCTGCTTTCTCCTCAACACAAACACTCTTCGCTGCCTAAAGCGCACGAGGAAACACACACAGACAGAGAGGTGCATATCAACACACACACAAACACATACATATTTGCATTAATAAAAACACTGAAATAGTATATCAATTTGGACATGTTCATACATTCAAATTAACATACAAACACACACAAACACAAAAAATAAACATAATTAAAACAAAGACAAACCCCCTTAAAATTTCAACTTGCAAAACACTCATAGGTGCAAATGCTTGAACAAACAAATCCACATGGGTGTTCAGGGATTTGCAGCAACTGAATCACATGAAAAAGAAAACCTTCTTTTCCTCATCATCCCTGTGATTCTGCTTTGTTTACTCTGTCATGGAGAGCTGCTCTGTTCGATCAGGCTGGAGAGGCACTAGGTTGGGTGGTTGTGCTAACGAAGTCTCAATGTGCCGTCTGTCGACAGGGTAATTTCCCAGGATAGCTGTGTATCTCGCTCCTCGAGGTTCCACTGGTAAGATATGAGATCAGCACCAGAGTCGTTGGAGAGGAGAAACCGAATGGGTAGAGATTTCTACCTCAATCCACTGTCCTCCCTTAAAGCCTTAGCATACCTGTGTCACTAGCCTATCATCTTTACACAGTCCATACAATTAATATGCTCATGCCACTGAGCTATTATCATTGTGGTAGCTCACATAGCACTCCAATACTATAGTTGAAACACATTCAATGAATACAAATGATCAAACTAAACATTTGTTAGGCAGAACGGGTGGACAGTTGCATCGTGTTGGGGTTGACCTGAAAGCTTTTATCCTGCAGATGTTGCCTTTTCAATTATCATCATCCAAGTATTTGAATGATCGGTTTCATCACTATTATTGCCTTTGCCAAGGAGGTTATGTAATCGTCTGCATTTGATTGTTGGTGCTAACGCAGGATTATGCAAAACCTACTGGACGGATCACCATGAGACTTGGTGGAACAATGTGGTATGGGTCAGGTAAGATGTTGAACCAATTATATTTTGGTGTGGATCCTGTAGCTGTTTTATTGATCATGCTTGAGTGTAGTACAGAGAGTCTATTATCTTGGAACTTTCACATCAGCAAAGTTTCAGTCATTATAGAACCAAAAAGCACGTGGGTGCATCAAGAAGAGAAGAGACATTGCTTTTCAATAGAACCGATGGATGCACAGACTACACCAAAGAGCTGCACACAGCTGAAACAACTGCAGAGCATAATATTTAAAACTTTGAGAGGTATATGGAGGCTGCTGGTGTCATTTGGATGATCACACTGATCGAACAGTGCAAGAGGCACAGAGTGGCCTTTACTTCTTTCTTTAGGCCTTTATTCACCTTTCTTGCTTTATAGACCGCTGTCAGGCATTGATGACTTTTTGCACAATGACACAAAAGTTATACCCCTTTTCAATAAACAGAGAATAGTCCAGGGACAATGTGTTACTCTGGCAGGATGGAGTCAAGGAGGTGGTGGGTGGGAGTGATGGGGACACCCTCTCTGTGTTAGCAGATTTTTTTTAAAAGTTGCTGGGGACAACAAGTGTGCCAAGTGGACTTCTCCATCAATCTGACAGGGTCCTCCCAGGCCCTGCATGGATTTCTAAGGATGCTGTGTATGTATGAATGGGAAGGTGCACAGCGGGCATTACATTGAAATAAGGAACTGCAAGTGGTCCTCCCAGATGGTTGTGTCCTGCTGCTAGTAGGAGGTCTGCAACCTTTATCTATGACAGGCGGTAGGTCTTAACATCCTCCACACACACTGCCCTGCTGCAGGCCTGAGGCCCACAGGGCTGAGGTTATGAGAGAGGCAGGGTGTCCCAGTGCAATTCCCTGTTTCCCCTCAGTCTTTTTTTTTTTTCAAGAAAAAGAAAGACCTAAATGACAGCCACTGCCCAGAAATGCAAGGGACTGAGGATGCTCTGTTCTTTGTCAAGCACCATCTTCCCTAACTGCCACACACGCATGCCCATAAATGCCAGCACACACACACAAACACTGACACGCACAAATACCCCAGCATGACTCTTTGCTCCTCTGAGGGTTGAAGCTGATGCAGAGCATCAGCATTGTTGAAGAGGCTTAGTGAAGGAAAGAACGGAAGTCTACTAGAGGAGGAGCAAGAAAGCCTGTAGGAGAGAAATGAAGAGACAGACAGAGAGATGCCAGGAGACACTGAGCCACAACACATCCCTAATCGACTTGCTGCCGACTTGCAAATCCAGCATTCTCATCTGGTTAACGCAAGGTCAACCGTGAGATGTGGAGAAATAAACTGAGGGGGACGGAGGAAGAAAGAAGGGAAAGGACTGGATGAGTAACTGGTGCAGTGAATAACTGTTGTTTATAGAGAGAGGTGACAACATCTAGATTTAGGACAGCATGTCTGCTGCTACATAAGGTGAATTTTAAAAGTTGTCTGCTTCAGTGTCCTCCACAATGCCACCTTGTTACCACTCAAGTCTCTGATAAGTCATTTTTCAGAAAGGCCGGCATGTGTGTCAGCGTGTGTGTTATAGCGAATAGGGGTTATTCTTTTATCCTTTGACCCAGATTTGAGGGAGAACTGAACAGGAGACATGAAAGACACAGACCTCCCAGCGGAGCCGGGGTCATGTGCAACCTGAACACAGGCGCACACCGGCACGGCCAGTCGAGCAGAAAACACCATTATGCATACACACAAGTCCATACAGACACACAAAGGACACGTGCTCGCAAAAATGCAATCATGCACACACACCTTCAAAAAATTTTTTTTATCAAGATCACACAAAACTGGGCATCTCACATGGAAATTCTTTCAGATACACCTGCCACAGCACCCAAGGCGAGCGTGTCCCTTCTGCCCTCCATGCACATGCACACAGCATATTAGTTCTAATGAGGGAACATGCAATCACATATGTGCAATCGCTGATTATTACTGGCAAAACAGCCCTTCCACAGATGAATACTCACATTCACATGCAAATACTGCACTCATCCACACCTGAGCGTTTGTGCATAGACGGTTGTAGCTCTGCATTCATGACATTTTTCAGTTATACAAGCACACACATTGACAAACTGTGAACAAGCTTTAGCTGTAAGCGTGGCAAAGGTGAAGGAGAATGATTGCAGTCTGTACTCTCTATAGATGCAGCCTAACTGTGATACAACAGCCTGCAAAGAAGGTGGCGTGGGTGAAATGAAATGGGTTGCATAAAAGGACAGGGGTGAGTAACAGCATGTCAGAGGCGGACTTTCCGTATGCTTCCAATGCGAGAGTAAGAGAGAGAGGATCTGATAAGACAGCAACACAAAGAGAGAAATAAATCTTAACTATTAGAGCAGAATGATGCAGCTGACAGACATGCTAAAGTTTATAGACTATCCGTGTGTACATTTCCTTGTCAATACCAAAGGAAATGAAAAAGAAATGGGGAATATTAAATGGATATAGAGAAAAACTGCACAGAGCAAAATGAAAAAATATACAGTAGGAAGTGGGAACATTTGCAGAAAGAAACCTGGATGCAGCAGAGACACATTACTGGGCTTCCGCCAGTGTTAAATATGGTTCCTCACTTCTGACCACCACTGCCACTCTTCTTTCCCTCCATCTCTCAATTTTGGTCCCCTACTGCTCCCTCGGGGAAGGCAATAGCTAAATGCTGTAATTTCAGCGGCTCAACTCAGTGCCATAACCGATTGTGCTGGCACAAAAAAAAGTCTTTACTTTGGATTTGAGTGACAGTCTTTGGCCAGGCTAATATGACTACTCCTCATGACCACAGAAATCCCTTAAGGTACAGTCCTTGTTAGAGGTGACAAGTCAGCTTGGAGAAGAAAGCCATTACCGGGGAAGAAAGGTATCAGGCTGCCTCCTGCTGCTATAAATTGAAACCAAATACAATGGCTCTGACCAGGGAAGTATTCTGGGAAATCTAATAGCTCTGCTGGTAATTCTAGTGAAGTTTTCTTTACCTTGTATGAGAAATGTCTTGGCGAGATTCATCTCTTTAAGAATTAAACAGGATGCCTTTTTGTTTTATTAATTAATTTATTCTCTGTGCCAATATTTCTGCAGTGTTTTTTCCCACTTTATTAGATTAGATTTGATCAAATCCCTCATCACCTACTTAGCTACTGCAGCCCTCCTGTCTTGCTCTTCTCCAGTCACAGTGAAGCCTGGGAGCTTGGCCACATGGTTCATGCCTGGGCTACAATGCACAAGGACGAGGGGGGATGAGGAAACTAGTGGGGGTTCAGAGGCATAGAAGTTCCTTTCTTCTCCACCCTTGCCTCTTTCTTTGAGCCAGAACAGAGGGTTGCCACGGCGATGAGGTTGGTCTGTCTCCCACGGCGTGGTCTGGGAAGAGCAGCAGCTTGCTCTGACATTTACCCAGGCTGGAGGAAACAGACGATAGAGGAGAAACACACACAGGCACACACAAAGAATGAGAAGAGAGAGGGTGACGCATTAGCAACTGGCAATTGCAGAAAGTGGACAGATCAAACAGTAACACCTGTAACATCAGAGGGTTGTCACATCGATGGAGAATACGCTGTCACTGTCTTTATCAAACCCTTTTATCTACTTCTCAGTATCCATTCATCCAACAACTTCTATTCCTGGCCTCCTTTTTCATTTGCTCTCATTTAGATCTCGCCAGCACGTCAGTAATCCAACGCATTTTTCCATCCTGATCATTTTCACTGCCAAAATCATGCACACAAGTTACACAACCAGTGCAAAAACATGAACACAAGCAAAATCGACAGTTCAGACACACAAACACATGCATACAAAACGATGGCCATCCCACTGAGAGAACAACCACCAACAACTACAACAAGCTCTGAAGTCAAAACTGACAAATTTGGACAGATTCTAGTGTACACAACTGCTTTTGTTTATCATTTCAGCACAGGAAGAGTGGGCCCAGCAAAACAGCTATTGAGCAGATTCCTTTACATTGCCTTGCATGCATGCTTGAGGATTTAGCCATGCCGTTCATTATGCATGCAAGAGATGTGTTGGCTTTGGACCTTGAATCCACCAAGCAGTCATTATGGGAGATCTCAATGGTGAAGAGCTTGAGATGCTTGAAAACCCACAGTGAGTCTAAAACACCTTTTCTGTTTCAGAGGAGAAAAAAAGTTGTTCAAACACCGTTTCTGATTAAAGGAGACAACAGGCAGCAATGTCAGCAAATACAAACAAGGAAACAGAGATAAGAAGGATATGACTGATGTGATGTGGGTACTAAAGATAAGCTGAAGTACAAAATACAATTTACTGTAAATGTAGAATATAGTGCTTTTTTTCTAAAGGATCAGTTAGCATACATCCCACATGAGGCAGAGACAAAGGAGGAAATGCATCACAATTTGCCACAATGTGAGTCATGCAAGATTTGACACACTGATGATGGAAGCGGCAGCATTTTACGAGAGATACATACATACGTGCCTCTTGCGGGAACTTCAGTCAGACTATGTTAATGTGCACTTTTCTGTATCACACTGAAATACACAAGGCTCTCTGTCAGTTGTGAATGAGCTTTGTATTCCCTAAGACTGGAGCTCTATTGGAAAGGTTCACTTTTAGCCTCCTTCTGTCTCACTGGAATCTAAATAAAGGCAACTTCAGTGGGAATATTCTTTGTGACCATGACCCACATGAACACAGAGGGATAAAGACACAGTTCTCCCGACATGACAATAAATATTCTTTTTCCTCTCAAAGTGCTCTCCGTCAGTATTTCCTGTAGATCGGACTCAGTGGCGCTTGGTCTGTGTTGCTCCAAGCAGGGTGGAAAAATTTGAAATGCTCAATAGCAACATTTCTTCAAAATAAAAACGACAGCGATAAGAGACTTTGTGGTGAAAAGTTTGCGAATGACTCTCTTACAAACCGTTTATACATTTACAGCAGGACGAAACTGTCAATAAGAAGGTCTGTGCGTCATCATGAGCAACCGTGTCACTACTTCACAGAGACGCTTTGGTCTGCGAACTTTCTCTTAGCCTTCCATCTGCCTGAGTAAAGTTTGCTCTTCATTTGATGGGCGTAGTGACCACAAAAGAAAAAAAAGCATGAGCTGAAAGCTGCTGATTGGATATTGATTCCCAGTGGGTCAGGTAGTACTGGCCACAAGGTGTAATTTAAATCAACAGCAACATCTAAAATACTTACTAATGTGGCTTAAGGTAATCCTAAGAAGAAAAATTATGTTTTAATAAAGATAGTGAAGCATCAAAAATGTTTTGATCTTGCATATGTATAATTAAATGCAAGATGTTTAATGCTTATGTGATTTATTTATCAAAATGTAGATTTTAAAAGGCCTACATGCAGAGTGCACATAGATGCATGTTATCTTCAATTTGGTTACTTATTGATGGATGTTGGTTCAGCATAGCACATTTTATTCCTACTGGTAATCATCAATAATATTAATAATTATTTTGACATTACCTTTGAAAAATGGCAGCATCATCCTTGATTTCCTGTAGCTTCTTCATCTAGAACTCCCAAGTCTCCTTTAGCAACAAGCCTGGGCCCCTGAGGAGACATTAATGAACATAAATCAAGCTATAAAAGATATATCCAAACTATCCACACACAGTGTTTTTAAAATACCAAAAAAAACTTTCATAACTGCCTCTCACAGCAGAAACTTACTTTCTCAGTGAGTTGGTTATGTTTTCCTGTAATGACTGAAACAGCGCCCCCCTAATTTACACCCGAAAATGCGAGTGGTCAAAGTTGATATTGCACCCTTGAATCCATTGGGGGAAATAAACAGTGTGAATTCGTCAAAAAAACTAACTAACCAGCGTCTAATCTTAGAGAGATGAGCGTGGTCAGTGTCAGTCAGGCTTTATGAATGAGCCTGCCATACTGTCACCTCACAACCGCATCGTGGAACTACCTGTTTGCTAGCTTGTTTTCCAGTGCGGCTAATGCTAGCAGCTAAAGACAGTTCAGCGGGCAGAGGAAGAGACACGAGGCCTGACGACAACCACAACCCAACAACAGTGAGCGTCCCCGCGGACAAACACGCAGGGTTCACCCCCATCGCAGGAAGGATAATGGATTCAGAATTAAAACAACCTGAGTCACATTCTCACTCTGTCCAAGTCCGTCTGGGAGTTTGTTCCCCTGATGGTTAAACGTGGCTCTGCTTCTGTCTGAGAGTGTGTAAGTGCGTGACGTCATGTGTACGTTATGGAGGTTTATCCTCATCACAGACTGACGTCACATGTTCAGGCTCTGATGTGTCATCAGCACAGAGGTCATTTAATCACTTACCAGTTTCTGTCCACACCAGAACTCTCTGATTACTACTGCAATAACTGTGATTGGTTTTGAATGCACATCTTATGTTTATATTTTATTTTAGCCATATTTCTACTTTGCCTTTGCAAACAGCTACTGCAGTTTTGCACGCTTGTCTCTTATTCATAGTTTGTCATCTCTTGTATTCACTCTCGTTCTTTGCTCTAAGTGCTATGCCCTTGACAAGTTGCTGTAACAATCATTTCCCAATTTGGGTTCAATAAAGTACACCTACCTAGCTATCTACCTACCTATCTATCTATATATATTTCTATATATATAGATAGATATATACTGGTCTTGTAGTCTTTGCTACTCCACAGTGATGGGATGTAATGAAGTACATTTTACTTAATTGTACTTTTTTCATGTATCTGCACTTAAGTAGATTTCTTGTCAGGTACTTTTCAAAATTTCTCTACCACACATATCAGCAATATCTCTACTTTCTTCTCCGCTACATTTTTACAATGCATTGCATTTAATGTTCATATGTTGGTTTTTTTTCATTTACAATAAGGGGTGGGGGCAGTTCACATTAGACCCCTTCCTCCACCTTCAACACCTGCAGCATCACTGGTGAAGAAGAAATAGCTCAAATTGATTTGGATGAGGCCACCGCTCAGACTCAACCATAATGATGTAGTTGACACATGCATTAGGAAGTAGAAGTACTTATACCTATAATAATGAAAGTATACTTAAACGCAAGTACTTACAAACTTTTGCTCAAGTAGAAAATGTAACTTTTTTTGGTTAGTTATGTGTATTTTTACTTATATAAAATGTTTGAGTACTTCCTCCCCCACTGGTACTTCTGACATATAGATGAGAGTTTAAGTCATGTATCTATATTTATGGTTCTTTACAACTTTGCTGACTTGTCTTACTTGGCCTCTGACACATCTAATGCTTCGACGTGTCATAATGTTTCACCAGAAAAGGGTGCAGCATCAATATGTAGACTTCCAAAAAAAGAAGAAAAAATTAATGCATTCACCCGGGTGTCATTTTTTCCCTCACTGACTGCAGATACAAAAACGAATCAACTGCAGGCTCATTTGACCTGGGAGTGAATTCCGTTCCTATCCATTCCCGCTGCAGACAAAAGCCAGATGTACAGTACATGAGTGTTAGCAGGTTTTTGACCACTCTGAATAAGTTGGGTATATGATCTTTAAATCAGTGCACTGGTTTATAGCTTTATAGTTTAGCTCACTGCTTTTGTATGCATGTTTCTGTATTTTCATATCCCCAGTTATGCAATTTTCAATTGTGCCTCAATATTTTACTGCATATCAGAAAAATATAAAATTACTTAAACAATATCAGCAGCTTGAATTTTTCTGATATTTTAAAATTGAAGAAAAAAACAATAATCATCAAAGCCGCTCACATTAAAATGCAGTCATGCCACAACAAGGATCTGTCACAATAGTGTCATTAATTTAGATATGAAGTATTTCTTTGTTTTTTATCTGGAGGCTGTTCTCTTCATTTGTCTTCTCCCTGCGATGAACACATGCTGACTTGGTCATAGCTTCATTTGAACACTGGGTTTCTCCAGTACATGTGGTCACTCCCACGGTGATATGGGGCACAAAGGCAGACCAAACGATGCTTTGTAGTGGATTTGTCCTTCTTTGCATATGATCTTATCACTTGCCGAAGGCACTTTGCTACAAACCAATAGGGGTCTTCAACTTGTTCCCCTCTCTGCCACGTGTCCCTTCTACCCCTCATTCTCAGGGGGTCAGTTATTCTGCCGAGGCTGAACTCAGGGGGATAGAAGCAGCAGGAGCGAGATGAGCCTGGAGGGGATCTTCTCACCCTGAGACGAGTGATTACTTCACTGGGACTAAGTTATGCTAATGTATTCATCTCCAAAAGCACCGTGATTATTTAGAGTTCCTCACCAACTGTTTTAGATTTTGCTCGCTTGCTATTTTATGCAAAGATGCTTTTTTTCCTCTCCCCAGCGCTCTGTTGGCACATTGCTTGCCGAGCTGAAGGAGATAAGAGCGTAGAAAATTCAGAAGATTGTTGAATTCTTTGCCCTCATTTTAATGTGCCCTTGATTTGTGAATGAATGCAAATCAAAACATGTCTACCTTTTTTTTTCTCCTGAAAGTATTGCGTGTTGCAATTTTACAAAATGACAGTGGAGTGGGACAGAGCAGATCATATTGCATACAGTATATCATTTCCGTTATTTCTCTTGCCCTCTAAATTGCTCTATGTTTTATGTAAAAGGCTCCAACACTTTCACTTTAATACATACAAACTTGGTGTATTTATTTCCCTCTGCTGAATCAGAGCTGAACCCCCTGTGGTCCCATTTGGCCATTTTTGATGCCGTATTCCACCTGGTGCTCCGCATGCCGTCTGTGGTGAGGTGGCATCCTGGTCCGGCTCTGCTGCCCCTGTGAAGCAGTGTCGGGGATATCAGGATAATACCAGAGTGAATATGTTAAAGCATTATTCACTTTAATCCTGAGCAAACCGTAATCATTGGAGACTGGTCTTCCCACCACCGTGACTGCAACAAACACATGCCGCTGGTCTGCTGAACTGTGCAAAGGTGTGCAGGACTGGGAGAGGTGTTTGGACGAGTATTTAAGAGAGGTTACAGGGGCTGGAAGAACTGAAGGCCGTGCAAAAAAGCAAATTATTGGAGAGGAGATTAAATATTTCAGTTTGAGATGCAGAAGAGAAAAGGGTTGGGGTAAGGTCCACATTACAGGAATGAGGAGGAGGTGATGGTCAAGAAACAAGGGGAAATAAAAGAAGTTGCTGTGAGATTTAAAGGGATTCTGAAGGCCTGCAGGGATTTGCAGAGAATTTGGAGGAGATTTCTGGAAATGAGAGCACTGCCCAGATGCGCTGCAGAAAGCAGCATCTGCAGCATTAATTACAATAGCCCCCTCCCCTCCCTCGCCCCCTCCGTACTCCGCCACCTGTTTCCTTTCAATGGCCCTGCTATACGTGAGTGAAATCCAGGAATCCGCATTCACCACTGTGGCTGATGCAATCACATACAACCTGCATCCCCTCTGCCACCCCTCCATTTCCATCCACCCACACACTCACACACACACCCACATACATGGATACACACCACCACAAACAATTCCCTGTGGATATCTTGATGTCTTATCTATTAGGAAGTGAAAGTGAGAAAGAGAGCAAATGAAAGCTCTCTGTCACCGAGGATGTCTTGTCTGTGTGGTTTGTTTCTACCTTGCCGCGGAATTGATTTGGTGAGTGAACCGCTTCACTGATGGGGAGATTGTCGGCCCCAAAAGGACAGAGGCGCACTCTGTTTTGCAGTCTGACGTGCACGTTGCCATGTCAGAGCCGTGTTGTGCCAGTGTTACGGTCACTACATATTGCTGCTATCTGAATCCCAAGATTACATCTGCTCAGCTGGGATTGTTTTCATGCCCCTCTCATCTAAGGATGGCGGAACTGTATCACAGATTAGGCTCAACCTATCTCACAAAATTCTGGGGGCGGTGATGAACTAAGATGTGGGTCGATCTTGACCTTCCAACTTCTCTGGTGAGAGGAGGACAGCGTCCATAAAGTAACATGGTTTGTAATACTGTGTGTCAAATGTCTCTAAAAGAGAGATCTGCAAAGAGGATTTGCGTTGAAAAAGCATGAGATCAACTCTTGGTGTCTGCAGATTTCCCTCATAAGACAGAGTGATAAAGGCCCGGGCTTATATGAATAGAGGTGAAGGATTGATGGGGGGGATGGAAAAGCATTACAAGCCTCTTATAATTGAAGATCTCTGGCAGAGAGAGAGAGAACATGCTCACGTGACGAACCACACCTCCCTGCTTAACCTGCAGGCTGTCAGCTCTATTTCCCCTTCTGGCCTAAATACCGCTGGGCTTTTCCAACTGATCAATTAAATAATTTACTGGCAATTTAGAAATTCGCCATTTAGATGTTGGATCAATGGTATGGATTCAAGAAGTCAGAGTTGCATCTGAAATGTGGCTGTCAAACAAGCGCTGTTGAGAAAAAAGCAGCATATAGTACTCCTGAAGGATTCTGCCTCTCTCTCTTATAAACACATAGACTCATGCACACACACATGCACTGTACTAACCCTAACCCGTGCACACTGGGGGATGCTGGGTTGAAGAGCTCAAGCAGGAGCGAGATATGCAGAGTGAGATCAACAACAGAGGAGTAGGCTGCAATGAAAATAATATCAGATGTTACAACACTAATGAACACCAACACAGAGGCAGAATAGAGATGGAAAACTACATTTCCTTTTTTCCGCTTGACCTCCTGCTGAGATTCAGAGCCTTTAATTCTCCTGGTGATGCTGGGATCCAAACAGCTACAGTGAATAAACAAGATTACCCATTTGGACATGCCAGTAAATCTTATCATATTGGAGCAGGGAGAGGAGCTGGGAAACAGGACCAGAGCAATAAGGTTGACAGAGGCCAAGACACAGGCAGCCATGGTTGCTGAACACAATTCCTCCCTCAAAATAATCTTCCTGCTTCTTTCTGTGTCTTACTATACATTTTGCTCATGGGTTGTGGAGAGACGGTGGTGCTTCGCTTGTTACGGCAGCAAAAATGATCACTTTTCATAGACGTGAAGCATGTACTGTATCAAATATTATTCTCTGTGAGATATTAAACATCAGTGGATTTGCAGGGAGGCTTCATTATACAACCAGTCATTTTTCTTTCTTGCCCTCTCTCATGTTTCATACTCGAAACATAAAATCTTGGCAAAATGGAGCTCTCTGAAGGTTTCTGTCGGGAAGAAAATGTCTTTGCAGAGAGCTTTACAACCATTGTACTTGAGGATGCCCTCATCAATTCGA